ATTATAACTCAACTCACTATGAAATGTTATTTGATCATTCTTACTTTCATAAAAACAGATTAAATAGTTTATTTTGATTTCATAGTAACAAAAATGTGACATAACAACTATATCCTTAAGACATTTTATTTCATAATATCAGGTGTTATTTCTCACTTTAAAAAAGGGTACTATTCTATCCTTCAATGATTGCATTCTCACAGTACAAGTAAACATGCTAGCAAGGCTACCAAAAAGTAGTCCACTGACTGCCTCTGTCTGTCTTGTGATCCTTGCCTTGCAGGTCACAGGGCCCCTTGAGAGCAGTCCTCCTATCTACCAATCAGAGGGCCGCTGTGTAGCCTGAGAGGTTAAATCCAGGACAAAAAGTGTCCCAAAGTTACCATAAAAACTCTTCTTTCATCTGGATTGTTTTGAGATATCTTACTTACTTACTAATCTGTAAAAATGTGGAGGATAAAAATAAGACTTCAGAAATATGATGTCACCCCATACCCAATTAAAATGCTAACCCTGACAACCTTGACAGTCACTTAAACATTTGTTTTAATGACTGACTGCTCCACTTTCTTAACCTCAAACTTTTTGCATTAATGCTCATTTTGTATGTGCCTGAATAGGCTCTTCTCCTGAGGGTACTCCTTAATGAAGCCAGGCAGCATTGAGAGGTTCAGCAGGAGGCACAAAAAACCCTGCAGCGCTGCAACACAATCCAACTTCTGTTTAGGGCCTCAAGTCTCAGCAATAGTTAGGGTAAGTATAGAGGCTGGTTTGATGTTTAATGAACAAATATCAAGATCAAAACCAACAATTAATGTATCTTATTGACATGTACTGTGTGTAAGCCTGATATATCTTCTTCTTCTGTGCCGTTATAGAGCTCCATTGTTGTCCAAAAATGATTAAAAACACAGTGTAGAACATAGTGTAGCTGTTGTACTGGGTGACATGTTTCTTCATTACCACGAACACACACATTGAAGTTTATTGACTCAATCCTACACATATGATCCTGCTGCCTCAAATACTCACTAGAGCACCAAATCTGCCCCAACAAATGCACTATTTACTCCCATTTTAGTAAAGTTAGCTAAAATGTTCGTTGTGCAACTGTTAAAAAAAAAAGCTAATGGGCTTGGAGAGCCACAGACGAGGTCAGAAAGTATTGAAACATGGACTAACACATTGTTAGGCTTTTTGTGGAATTTGTTAACAAAAATAAAAACATGTAGTCTTATCATTGGAGTTACAGAGGCTGGAATTAAATTCATTTGGACTAATCCTGCAGCCAAAACATCATTCTAACCCTACCTTGCAGCATGGCAGATTATAATCTGGAGTGAAACTACTTGTAAGTCCCGGTTCACTTAGAATTTGGCATCATACCCACCAAAGAACATAGAAATGGAGGCAAGTATTTTTCTTATGATTTAGTCCTAATTGTGAAATACAAAATTCTACAACAGGAATGGATCTATTGTTTCTATTGTTGGAACGTTCCTATTTTTGGTTTCTACTGGAACCTGACCAATATTTGTTGCCCGATATTAGCTTATCACAGATATCTGCACAGTCCCCTTGTTTCTCCAACTCTGTACATTTGTGTACACTGTAATTTTATTTTAAAATAATAATAACTTTTAAGTATTTATACACCTTTCAAGTTTAAAAAGTGCTTGGACAGACGTAACAAAATGATACATAACATATAATTAAATAAAACAAATGTATACCAAAAACATTACAACAATAAGAGCAGAATAGAAGCCACTAAATAAAATGAGTCAGGAAGCTTTTGCAAACTCATAATAACCAGGCCTGCTAAAATGTCAGTACATTCAGTTTGTGAATGAATCATGTAGAGTAGGTGTGTGACTGCTTACTAACAAGTGAGCAGCTTCTCCTTTTCGCATTCAGCTGACACAAACCATTCCATTTCCAAGCCATGTGTATTCATATTCATGAGTACCTGTTTGTGCCTTTCTGTATTTCCACATTTAGGGAACTGTCAGAAGCTCTGCCACGTCATAATGTAAAGCAACATCACACTGTCAGCTTTTATCCAAGGGCGGAATTGTTGTTTCTCACTGGCTCTGATAGTGATAATGTGTGACGTCTTCACACATTGAACAATTTTGTAGCTGTTATTTTCCTGCTTTTCCCTGCACTCTTTGTACAAACAGTAAGCCTCTCATATTTGTCTCTGTCCTTCTGTCGTTACCTCTGTCTCTGTCCTTCTGTCTTTACCCCATTCTCTCTCTCTCTCTCTCTCTCTCTCTCTCTCTCTCTCTCTCTTACCCTAACTGGCTCTCACCCATAACTGGTCGAGCAGACGACCACCCACCTAGAGAGCTGGGGCCTGTCCCTAGGTTTCTGCCTCTTAAAAGGAATTTTTCTTTGCCGCCGTTGCCAAGGTTTCTTGTCATGGTTGGGAACTGTTGGGTCTCGTGTAAAAATAATGTTATAAGGAGTACGGGCTGGACCTGCTCTATTTTGAAAAGTGTCCTGAGATAAATGGAGCGAAGCCTGCGAGCTAGTTCAGGCAGTCAACTTGAGCTGCGCTGCAATACACACGCCATGCCTCACTCCATAATCACTAACCAAGCACACCCTTCCAATCCGGTGGTCTATTTAAAGTGCAATTTCCCAGGAGTTAGGAGTACCGGTTTCTGAAGAGAAACTGTAGGCCCTTCTACGCGTTTGGAATTTCTTGGCATAACCCTTGATAGAAAGGCTGTTGCTCAGATATGCAGTTCTAGTCTTTGCTATGTGATGATTGACTGGCATTTCTTTTTATAATGACTACGTGGAATCTGCAGATTCCCCCTAGTTTTGACTGATGCAGCTCCTCTGTTGGTTTTGGGGGGTTCTCATAATGAGTGGTTTGCAGAGACAGAAATTCAGTCCCTTAAAAACAGTTCTAAATTCACTGCTCTTTATGAATTCTACCCAATTATCGTTTGGGGCAGCAGATGGTCCCAGAAACAAATGATGGTGTTTTGTGAGCTGCTATAGTGGAAATAATTTACAGTTTGTGCATTTATTGTTTTTACTTGATCCTAACATCTTCAAATGCAAAGTATCAAAGCTATGCTAGCAGGGATTCAGTTTCACATTCGATGTAAAGATCCAGCATCCCAGAGTCTTCTGGGAAATCCTTCCATTCAGCTGCTCCTCAATGGTATGGTATGTAAACAGCAGCAACAAGATAGTGATGATAAAACGGTTTCATCTTATAAAAAGTTGACTCGCAACACAGTCTTCCTGTTTCCAGCTAACATGAGTTATGCTGGGCCACATGAGTGCCGAGTGGGTATGGACCCAAAATGGTTATCTGGGGCCCAACTAGGCTAAGTTGACACTGCAAGCCTTAGCGCTCAATTCTATTGTATTGCTCAGATATGACACTTTTTTTGTTTGGCTGTTTATATTACTTTTAAAATGTCGCCCATATTAGATTCAGTTATGAACAGGTCACAGTCCTGAGATAACCCTGCATAACTATTGTAGATCTAGAGTAGAATTGAAAAGAACAGATTCCATCTGATTCGCACTATTCACACTCTCATAAAAAAAATCTGGGTCACTTTGGCCTGCAATCGCAAAACGTGGCCTCAGTAGGCCCCATTTGGGCTCCCTATGTGGGTCCTAATTGGGTCTATAAAAAGAAATGAAAACTTGGTCTTAAATTGGGCAACACAAATTATGACAAATGACAAATGAAGATGGGCACAACTGTCCCATTTCGTCCAAACATTATCCTGGCTCTCTTTCTATCCTCTTGGGGTGAGAGCACTTGCTGTGCTGAGCTGGTCCTGCTGATCTGGCTGGATGGCTTGTCTCAAGGCCTGCGGCTCTTTAATCCAAACCCCACACTTCCTTTTCTGATGACTGTAGGCTATTTCAGAGGTAGTACGTGTTTCAGCAATATAGCCAAACATTTTATCAGATTAAAACTAAAATGTAGAGAAGTTTGAAGGAGCTATAGATTAAAAAATGCAATAGAATGTTAAAGATTAAACCTGTGGCTTCTTCTTTTTAGCTTGTGACCCCTTACATTAAAAAAAACAGTGTCTACTTGGGGCTCCTTGTCACGTTTCAGATGTATACACGTTGTTAGCACTTCCCCTCTACACTCAGATGGTTTCTGCTTCAGGCCCAATATTTCATATTTCATTTCATTATTTATTTACAAAAAAGAGTCAGTCTAGAACCTGGTCTCCACTTGACCTTCATGACTTGACCTACTTGTGCCCACATATCAGCACCCCAGCATGTTTAGGCCTCATTAAGGGATCATGATTATGCCATCAGATTTCTTTTACATTTTACCCTTAAAACATTTCAAACTTGAAATCATTGCATTTTGTGGCCATAAACAGGATTCTGACAAATTTTTCAGGACCTTTCCGGGACATTTTCCGGGAACTTTTCTTGAGAATACAGGACACCACTTACTTACAAACAGTCCTATCGGCTCTGGTTTTGGGCAAATTGACTACATTAATATGGCCATAAGTCATTTAGATTATTTCTGGGATATTTGGTCATTTTAAGCAATTTCCAAGCGATTCCATGACTCTATAAAAAACTACATTACTGCTTGTGATTCATTCATTCCTGCTTGTGATGGATCAAAAAGTTTATACTCAAGAATGACATTTCAATATACTGTCATGACTCAGGAAACACAGGATCGGAGAACAGCATATACATTTTAATAAAAACTGAGTTGAATTACAGATAGGTGCAGGTACAGGTATGCAGAGAGATAGTAATCCAGGTAAAGCACAAGTAAAAAGCCAAATGCAACAAGGAACAGAGCAACCAGGAACAAAGTAACTTCAGAAAGAAGAGAACACAAAGACTAAATGCACAGGTGAGGGATAACGAGAATTACAAAATAAAACAGGGAACAATCAAACCAAACCCAAAATCAGGACATAAATTTACTTTGTACTTTGCACCTACAGATCTCCCTTACATATGTAATGTATATATATATATATACATTGTTTCATTTTTTAAATATGAAATATTTATTGTTTATATGTATTTTTTATCTAAATTATGTTATGTTTAATGTGTGTAGACTGAAATGTTAATGTCATTGTGCAACCTGCAGCGTGTAGTGACAAATACATTCCTTGAATTCAAAGGCTACTGAGACGGATGAAAATAAACTCATGTTTAACGCCTTTTAACTGAGGAATCATTGGACTAAAGGAAATCAAAAATAATGTAATTTACACCTGTACATACTTTCAAACAAATCAAATGAAAAAATAAATAAATAACCATACATTTAAATTTTCAAACCAAAGAAATGAATAGGCTCCTTATGCTTCCCAATGTCCAAAGATACCATTAAGGGAGTTTTTTCTTATCTCTCTCTTCCTCCCTTTTATCCAGCTTCCTCTCCCTCCTCTCCTGCCTTTCTGCATAAACCTTTAACTTTTCTGCAGTCTCATTTTCTTTTTGGTTTTGGTAACCCCTATAGTTGGTTTGGGGTAGTGGATGGCCCTGGAGAAGTGGTACTGGGCACCTCATCAGGCTCCTCTGTGCTGTGGCAATGATGTTAAGAGAGAGGCTCAATGGAGTCCCTCTGCCTCAGAGTCTTGTGCATTGCCTCGAAAAAAAAAAGTCAATTTCCTGGCTGTCCCACCCTCTGTCCCTGATCTGGTCAGTGGTAATAGGATCAGATCTTGTGTGAAGGGTGTAAGAAACACAAGGTTAAATGAACACATCTTTTGATAAAACCTTATCGTACTGGAGCCAGATAAATCACAAAGTTTCCCCATCAGTGTAATTGAACCCACATACAGAAATAGCCAACATGTGATCCACTGGCCCATTCATCAGATTTTGAACTTGGTTCACCCAACCCTTTTTACTTTGGCTTAAGTTTTTCTATTTCTTAGTGGCTTGAACTGCTGCAAGGTTGGGGGTTCATTATGTGTTGGGATAAAATGCTAAGTAGTGTCAGAGGAGGACATTTACCACTGCAGCAGGAGACTGTCAGTACTACAGTATATGCCACAAACACACCAGGTTATAGCATGTGTTCGCTTTAGCTGTTGAGTGGATTCATCCATTGGCTGGCTACAATAAATAATTATGAACTGACATTTTTGAGGTTTAAGTGGAATACTTACTTGGAACATTGGGCAGAAGCATTATGCTACCAGTGAAGTGAGGTTTGCACTCCAGCCGCAGTTGGATAAATTTAGGCTAAGATCTGATGATAGCATAATATGGAAATCATCAATTTTAATTCCTCCGGGCTTCCCCAGGCAACCTGTGTTTAACGTCACAAAGCTATGAACTGTGGGTCATTTCCTCAGGTGAAGTCTGCAGAAATGCAGATTTAAGGCTCCAAAACTCTGCGAGAGAGGCCTCATGCTCAGAGCATCAGACTCTGATTATTGGCTCTTCCATA